TCATATCGTTCCCAAACCAGCTATTACTTGAAAGCAATGTATTTAATTTCAACGTATTACTAAAGCCATCCTCTTCAATTTCATCAAAATTCACCTTTTGGCAACGGTAATTCACCATCAATGACCGAGCTTCCACCAAAAATGCCAGATCTTACTCCGCAAGTCGAGAATAGTGATCTGGTAAATTTAATGCCGTTTAATAATTCTTCAGATTTGATTACACCATCTGCAACATCATCAAGCCAACAACCTAATCGTCTTTCAGTAACTATTGAACCTGAAGACGAAGGAGATAATTGGGACGCTGATTTTGTGGATTCGATACCTTTTGCAAAAATTGCAGATATACAGAGTAAACAATTGAATCACAAGTCATCTGATGAGGATAATGCACAAACTATTCGGCCAGGTCGATTTAAAAGTGGACGAGATAAGAGTAAAAAATCAACGGTATCTCGTGATGATAAAGGTAATAGGCTGCATGAAAAAAATCCCTTAGATAATAAAGAGGACATTTTTCAAAAGAAAGTATCACTAAATAATAAAGGCAATAAACATCAAGAAAAGATCCTTCGTGAAAACAAACAACAGGAAATAGCTCGAGATAAGAATGAACCAGAGAAAGAGAAGATTGAGAGAATTGCAGATGCTATAGTTGAGGACAAATCTGAAGAAAAGGACAATGGCTGGGAATCCATGCAAGATACGGTTATTCGTATAAAATCAAATAATTCGGACAATTCAAATAACACGGAATACACCAAAGTGCTTGCCAAACCACCGCTTGTTTCGCCGGTTGCAAAATCCATAGAAACATCGAAAAATAATAAAACAATAACAGAAAATCCAGCAATAAAATCGATAATTAAACATCATACTCGTGCGCATAGTGCCAATTCTATACCAAGTCCAATTAGTTCCTCTCAGAACGGTACAAATGTCATGGGTAGTAAACAACTTCCACCATTACCGACACACAAATCCACATCGTCCACGGTATCTGCGACAGCTACTAGTTTACCATCAAGAAGAACTGCCTTGTCTCAAATCGAAATGTCTCCAAAACAGCAAGCCTTTAATAGAGTGGTTGTAACTCCACTTCCAATGTTGTCTCCCGAAGAAGATTCACAAAATTCAAGTGAAATTCAACAATATTATGAATCCGATGATGATGATGATTATAATAAAGCATTTGGAGAAGATGAAGAGGATGGCTTTAGTAATACGTTGAAATTAAATAC